TGTTATACCTGTTACAATGGCTACTACCAAAAAGACAAGAAGTAACAAGTGTGGGCAAAGGTATGGAGAAAAAGGAACCCTTGTGCATTGTTGGACATGCAAATGGTGTAGCCACTACAGAAAACAGTGTGGAGATTCCTCAAAAAATTAAGAACAAAACTACCATATGATCCGGCAATCCCACATTTATCCAAACAAAATGAAACACGGACTCAAAAAAGATAGATGCACGCTATGTTCACTGCAGCATTTACAATAGCCTATGGAAACAACCTAAATGTTCATCGACAGACAAATGGGTAAAGAATATGTGGTCTGTAGACACACACGCAGAAATATTGTCATAAAAAAAAATAAAATCTTGCCATTTGCAACAACATGGATGGATGTGAGGTCACAGTGAGGTCAATATGCTAAGTGAAATAAATCAGACAGAGAAAGACAAATACCACATGATCTCACATAGATACGGGATCTTAAAAAAACACTCAGAAACCAACTCATAAATACAGAGAACAGATTGGTGGTTGTCGGGGGGAGGGGGGGTTAGGCAAAATGAGTGAAGAAGTTAAAAGAAAGAAACTTCCAGTTGTAAAATAAAAAGTCACGGGGGAGAAACAAGATGGCGTGTAGGTAGCAGCTGCACCCGCCGCCTCCGCAACCACATCAAAATTACAACTAAAATACAGAACCACCGTCCCTCAGAGCCCCCTGAAACCTGGCTGCACAGAAGCCCCACAAGCAGGGAGCTGAAGGAGCATCGAGGCCGGGAGGAGGGGCGGAGACGCGGGCGGGGCCCACACCCGGGGCTGCGGTTTAAACCGGGAGGGAATCTCGGCGGCGGCGGTTTCCCGGAGGAGTGAGGGGTCCCAGCCCCACAGCAGGCCCCCAGCCCAGGGCTCCAGGCCGGGAAGAGATGTCCCCACAACTCCGGGCTGTGAAACCAGCGGGGACTGTCCCTGAGGGTCGCGGAGGCTGCGGGAGCCCCAGCAGCTCCTCTAAAGGGCCCGGCACGGACTCACTCGGACGCTCCCTCTGAGCCCAG